GCACACCGAAGGTTACAACTGGCATGTGCTGGTTTTATAGGGGGATATGTATCCTGAAAGGTTTTAGTGACTAGGAAGGCATTTTCCTGTGAGAAATTTGTGAGGGAGGTATATGTCCTTTTGCCATTGTGGGACCCTGACTTAACATGTAATGCTATGACACAGGGTTGTGAAATTATAGCTATGGAGGAAACGAGGAGGAAGGAAAAGCAGCGTTGCATGACTCATTTTCTAGGTTTAATGTTCCCTTTGGTATAATGAGTTTGGGGTCCCAAGATTTTATTGTCTTTGACTAGAGTATTAGGACAGCCATCACCTCAAACATTTTTTTATGTTGGGAACATCCCAATTCTTCTGTTTTAAACTATACAATAAATTATTGTTAACTATAGTCACCCTCCTATGTTATTGAACACTAGATCTTATTCTTTCTATTTAATTGTAGTTTTGTACCCATTAACTAACCTTTCTTAATCCCCACCTCTCCTTCTCAGCCTCTTGTAACCACTAATCAAGTCTCTACTTCCACGAGATTCACCTGTTTAGCTCCCACATATGAGTGAGAACATATGGCATTTGTCTTTCTGTGCTTGCCTTATTTCACTTAACATAATGACCTCCAGTTCCATCCATGTTTTTGCAAATGACAGGATTTCATTTTTTATAACCAAATATTAATAATATTCCATTGTGTATATGCAGTTCATTATCTGTTCATCTGTTGATAGAACTTAGGTTTTTTTTTTTTTGCCTTTGTTTATTGACTGTTTTGTAAGCATTTTGTTTCACAAAAATCTCCAACTGAAGTTAATAATATGATATTGTGAAATATGTATTTGGTCTTCAACCCTATTTCCTTGGCATACAACTCCTAAAATCCTTAGAACCTCCACAGTAATGCCTGTTTGTGTGCCAGTGATTGACTGATGGCTGATGGCCCCTATGTAGTTTCAGGATGCGGGTTGTTTAGCTGAAAGACCAAGGCACCATTAGAGGGGTGGAACTTTCAGCCTCACCCCTATCTCTGGGGAGAGAAGAGAAGCTGAGGGTTAAATTGATCACCAGTGGCCAATGATTTAATCAATCATAACTATGTAATGAGGCTTTCATAAAAAACCCAAAAGCCCTGTGTTTGGAGAGCTTCTAGATGACTGAATAAGTGGAGGTTTCTGGAAGGTTGTGCGCGTGGTGGGCACGGAAACTGTGTTTCTTCCACCATAACTCACCCTATGCATCTCTTACATCCAGCTGCTCATTTGTATCCTTTGTAATATCCTTTATAATAAACTGCTAAACATGTTTCTGGAGTCCTGTGGCCACTCTAGCAAACTCATAGAACCCAGAGGCAATTGTCAGAACCCCAACTTGAAGCTTTTCCATCAGCCGTTCTGGAGGCCCAGACTTGTGACTGGTGGGGCCATGGGGTTTGTGGTACTGAGCCCTCAACCTGTGAGATCTAACACTATATCCTGGTAGATAGTGTTGGAGTTGAGTTGGAGGACACCCAGCTACTGTCCATTGAAGAACTTATTTCTTCCTTGGTGTGTAGGGAGAAACTGCCACACATTTGGTTGCACAAGTCTTCCGTGGTGATTGTTGTGGTGTGAGAGCAGAGGAAAAACAGTTTGAGTTTTTTACTCTCAGACAGCTCCATAAAACTCTGTGACTACACCAGTGAGCATTGGCAAAGAACAAAAAAGTCATTCAATTTCTTTTACCAGTTCCGTAAACTGGAAATGATTCATAGCATTTGCACACATATTTGTAATGTTTTTGACAGCTATATCCATGACACTTCTCGTAGTCTGCTTTAGAAAGTCCTGCACAGTGTTTTCCACTCAATTCTGCATCAGTAGTATACCTTCCTTTTAAATTAAAAACTTGTCCATTCTGTGTTAATGTAGAAAGATAATTTTATTATAATATAATCAAAACAGTAATAAATATTTCAGATTAATCATCAATTACAGTTTACATAGGTTATCACTAATTTGTGCTGTCTGCATTGAGGACTAAGCTCTGATTTTTTTTTTTTTAATCTTGCTCAAATTCCTATCTAAGGAGTCTGGGGAGTCATGCCCTTATAAACCATAAATTCCCATCAGATGGGTTTTATTTAACTCTGTATATCATGACTTACTTTTCAGTCTGACTCTGGGATAACATGGAAGAAAATAAAAATATTTTACCCGAAAACATGTTTCTCTGCCATATCTTGAAATGTCCCTGCAAAGCCTTCCCTTATGGGAAAAAATCCACATTCTATAGAAAATCTACTTTCCCCTTGTTTTCCTTCCTTCCTTTCCAGATCCAGGCACCTTTTTAGGTCCGATAAGAAACATTTTACAACCTGTTCTCTCTGAGGTCTGCCATCTGAGAGCTTCCTCTGCACAATAAAACTTGGTCTCCACAATCCTTTATCTTAACCTGAACATACATTTCCTTTCTATTGATCCCGTCTTCAGAAAAACTCAACTAATTGTAAACCAGAAAACGTTTATAGCCTGGAACCCCCCTGCCTCCTTCACCACTTTGAGTTGTCCTGCTTTTCTGAACCAAACCAATGTATTTCTTAAATGTATTTGGTTGATGTCTCATGCCTCCCTAAAATATATAAATCTATAATATATATAAAACATATAAATATATATATATAATATATATAAAACTAAGCTATACCCCGACCACCTTGGCACATGTTCTCAAGGCTTCCTAAGGGCTGTGTCATGGCCACGGTCATGGTTATTTGGCTCAGAATTAATCTCTGAAAATATTTTATACAGAGTTTTACTTTTCTCATCAACAGCATGATATATTCAAATATATTATAATCTGCTTCTTTGATTTAATGCTGCTTGGAGTAGACCATGTTATGGATGTGTTGTATGATTTTAACTGCAACTGCTGTGCTTTTAGATTCCTTCCACTGTACGCAACTGTGTAGAATACTTCATTGCTCCCGTGTGCATTTTGAGTATTTTTCTAGGGTAGATTCTGAGACATAAAATTACTACAGTTTTAGGAGATTTCTTAGTCGTGTAAAATATTAGTAGATACTCCCAGATCACTATCCAAAACGTCATTTTACACTCCCTTCAACAGTACAGAAGAGTACTCCTTCCCTTGTATCCTTATCCACTCTTGGCATTTTTTTTCTTTTCTTTCTTTTTTTTCTTTTTAGGTTCTGTGATCCAGGCTGGAGTGCAGTTGTATGATCATGGCTCACTGCAGCCTCAACCTCTTGGGCTCAAGTGATCTTTCCACCTCAGGTTCCTGAGTAGCTGGGACTACAGGCACATGCTACCATACCTGGCTAATTTTTGTATTTTTAGTAGACACAGGGTTTCTCCATGTTGCCCAGGCTGGTTTTGAACTCCTGTGCTCAAGCGATCCTTGGTCTCTCAAAACTGTGGGATTATAGGCCCATGTGCCACTGAGCCTGGCTAAGCTTACTCTTGGCATTTTAAGTCTTAAAAAATTTTGCCAATCTATGAATGAAAATCATTTTTAGTATACATTTCCTTGATAACTGAGATTGAACATTTTTTCATATTTTAGTAGCGTTTCATTCTTAACATAATACTTGTATTTCTTCAGAAAATAACAAAATAATTATCTAAATAAAATACATACCCTGTGTTCTTTCTTTGATTCTCTTTTAATGTTGTGAAAGCTCAGAAAATGCTAGAAATGCTAGAATGATTTTGCGTACCTGTGGTCCAGTTGTTGATTTTCTTTTTGCGTCTCTATGGACAAGAATCATTTGCATTGCTGATTTCTACAATTTACAGAGCTGCAAAACTGCTCAAAGACAATGAAAGGAAAGAACTATTATAGAATCAAATTACTCAGTGGGGTATACCAGACAACACCTAGCATTCCATAGGACATCCCGCAGTCTTTCACTGGTTTTCTGAAAGATAATACATTTAAAGCTTCTAACACATTGTCTGGCTCGAGGTGAGAGCTCAATAAATTTAATTTGCTTCTCCATTGTTAAAAGAATGAAAAACAAGATAATTGAGAATTTATAGCATTTCTATGGAACTACAGTTCCCTGGATAGTTGCTGTATCTAGATTGACTTTTGATTTCACTGGGTCTTGTGCAGTGCCTGGGAGCATTTTTATATGTGGTCAGTAATTAAAAAATTTATTTCCCCACCTCTTAATACTATCACAGTTGTTCAGTTAACAGTTTGATTGGATAGAACTATGTTCAAATATGTTCTGATTTATTCCCCTATCTGGAAAAAACATGTATATTGTGAGAAAATAGGCTTGTCTTACTTACATCATTATGTATCATGTATTTTCATACTGGGGTTAACAAATATATTCTAAGCATTGAAACTGGTGGCCTTGAAAATGGCTTGACTAGCTGTTTCTTTTCATAGTCCAAACTGGGTGAATATAGCTAAATAAAAAATCTGGCTCTATTATAATAGCAAATTCGATTTCGTGTGTGGAGTCTTAAGGCATGATTATACTGTTTCTCACCATGAATAGTGATTTTTTACACATGATAAGGCAGGCTAGCATATTCACATACATTACGGCTAGAATAAACCATTGCTTTAAAAATATGATTTTTAACCTGCTTTTTAGATTGAGTGTTCTATAAAAATTTCTTCTTAACTGAAAAAAAAAATATGCAGAGGCTAATGTAGACTGTAAAATGAAGGAGAAGCTTAGCTTTACTGTGGAGTCTGGGTCTGGGTGTAACCTAACTAGCTAGAGGATATGCAATTCCTGATTGACAGCAGGTCCAGCATTATGCAGATTTTGTAAGGGAGAACACTCAGCTCAGAAACAGTGATGAGAGGCTCTGTTAGGAATTACTACATTCACTACTCATATCTTTCAGTTTTCTGTCTACTGGATTTGTAAATAAATAGCGCAAAACAGTTCCTCTTTTGTTTTTATTAAAGTGATACTGCAATGCAGTTCAGTCTGTCAGCTAGGCATATATGTGTGAAATTTGATATTCTCACTAAATTAGCTAATTTTTAGCTGTGTTCCATGCTTATCTCTAGACCTTTGTGTATTAAATCCTGTCTCGAGCTGTTCCCTTTATACACAAGTGTGTTTTGCTTGTGCCTTCCTGTCTTCTTCAGTGAGAAGCTTTATGTAGGTCAGGCTTGGCTTAAGCAGATTTCCTGAACCTGCGTCAGCTTAAGCTGGAGGAATTTTAATAAACCCTCCCCTGTAGGCGTGGGCCTAAATGAGGCTAGCCTAGTTAAGCCTGATCTTTTTCTGTTTGTGAAAAGAGCTGAGCAGAGCTGAAGGCTGCATGGTGGTTTCAGAAACTGCCTACTTAATTTGAAAAGAACAATGGTAGGAAAGGCTAGATCTTCCAATTTTACCTTATCTGAAAAGCTTGATTTGCTAAAGCTTGTGAAGCCATATGTGAAAATTCTCGAAGAACACACTAATAAACATTCAGTAATAGTGGAAAAGAATAGATGTTGGGATATCATAGCAGTTAACTATAATGCAATTGGAGTAGACCGCCCTCCTCGAACAGCACAAGGCCTACGCACCCTTTACAAAAGGCTCAAAGAATATGCCAAACAGGAGCTATTGCAGCAAAAAGAGACCCAATCAGATTTTAAAAGCAATATTTCTGAGCCAACCAAGAAAGTTATGGAGATGATTCCCCAGATTTCCAGTTTTTGCCTGGTAAGAGACAGGAACCACATACAAAGGTAAGCTTTATTTTATTTTGTTATGGAAAATTATGGCGCCTCCTATCCATTGGGCTTTGGCTTAGTTGTGACAGAGATATGCATAGTAAGCATCCCCACAACGGGAGCAATGAATAGTGTCTTTGTTTTGCATTTTTTAAAAAGAGAAAAGTGAGGCTATAAGGAATTTTTCTTTTGCATTTAAGCTACTTTTTGACTGTCTTCCCCTCCCCCTTGCCCCCTGTAGTTTCTAAAAGTAAAGGTTAGGGACGAATAAGTGGGATGAAATTTGTGACATCACTTCATAAACTTTTTAAGCTTTAAAATTAAATTATTTAGTTTGCTTCTGAGAGATACTTTTTTTTTAAATTTAAGATTACATTTCACTGGAATTTTTAATTTTATATGAAATTTATATAAAGTTAGCAGCTTCTAGAGAAATGGAACCTTTGCTTTTCTATGAATTGTCATTGTCTACACTTATTGAATATGCATTAACTAACAAATAGAGCTAAAATCAATAAGTAAACTTGTTAGTGGCATGATTGTGTATATAAAGACAGTTTAAATTATTTTTCTAACACATTTAAAATAAAGATGAACACAACTAAAAGGAGTTAATGCCTAATTAGGGATTCAGTTTACTTAATAAAATTTAAAGTTTTTGTTCTTTTTATTCCTTAATGGTCTAGTTTCACTTTGATCTTGGGTCATATAGGAAAGAGTAAGCTTTCTCTTACTGTTTTGCAAGGATATCAAATTATGAATTTTAAAATACCCCTAAGAGCAGCTGGGTTTTTTTAGAGTTAGAAGCAATTTTTTGGTTAAACTTGTGTTCTATGTGACTATTTGCCTTGGAATTTTCAAAACTGTTATCTTGTCACTAATTCGGATTGTAACCTCTGGCAAAATATGAAAATGGCAGCTACATTCTTATTCTGAACCATTTAGGGTAATTTAAACAAATTGTAAACTCCTTGTTAGTTTGAGGGGGCTTTCAAACAAAGCTTTACACAATGTGCTTTTCTATTGGTGGGAGAGGCATTATATAAGCAAATTATTGATTATTGTGAAATCCCTTTGAAATTAGGAGAGAAACAGAAAAAAACACTTTGTAGCCAAGTGTATATATTATTTTGGTAATTTACTAGGAAATTATTTTTGAGCCTAGCTTTTTACCAGATACTGCTTATTTCTACTATCTGATAGCACAGTAAAAAAAATATCACCAGTGGGAATCCAGGACATGAATACACAGTGGATTAATTCTTGGGGCCACTGGTTAAAATGTTCACTGTGATGACAAATGATGAAATCCCAATAGCTGGATATCCAGAAAACTACCCAGTAAAATTGTTTTATGCTGTGCTGCTTATGCAAATTTTCTCCCCCTTGAACCATAGAGAAAAGTGTTTTTTGCATTGCAGGTATAAAACTGTACCTTTTGGCTAGTAGGTATAAATTTTTATAACTTGAAAACTACATGTAGAAACTAATTTTAGTTGCATATTTTAAAAATACAGTGAGTATAGAAGAGAATTACATACAGTGAGTATATAAATATACAAGTATCTGGTTACATTTTGACCATTTGTGTGTGTATGTATACAATATTCACACACACAAAAAATCTTTCGGAACATCAATGTTTCTGTGATAAAAATGAGTTGATTTGTGCATTCCTATACCTATGGCTTAAATAATACCAATTTGTTAGATTTTAAAGGGAAGAATATAAGAAATATGCCTCTTAACTTCTTATGTTAGTGTGTCTACATTGACATTTTCTCCGTATTAGCTTATTTCTTTAATGTGCTTATATTTATTTGACATCATCCTTGAATCTTAATCTCAGAAGTTTATGATTATTCTATAATCTTGACTATACTTCTATATAAATATGCCTGCTAATCTTACCAAACTCTCCCTATTTAATAAGGAAAATACTAGTGTTTGCAGTAACATACTTAAAAATATATACCTGTTTTGTAAGGCTATTTATTTCTGTAACTCACATTGCCTTATGTCTTTATTTTTGCCTTTCCCTAATATCAGTTTATATTTTGTGTTTTTGTAAACTGATCTTCAAAGTTCTGATTCTCAAGTTCTTCTCTGTCATTTTTGTGACCTGCTCTAAAGCTTTTTTTCCTTCTTTTTTACATTATGCCTTAGTTGTAATGTGTTAGCTGAAATGGAATGTTCCAGATATAAGGCATGTTTTTAATTTACTTGGGAGTATAATGTCTATGTTTATAGTCTATTGTACATACTAATTTGAAATAGTAATTGAGTGGTTTTAAAAACTCAATTTTCATATGCAGTTTTAGCCTTTTCCCATTCTAGGTTTTAGCAGAGCTATTAATAGAGGCAGATTTTGTTACTTTGAATTACATTTATAATTAATTGTTTTGTTTTTGGAGATCATAAAATAACACAAATAGGGACAAGAACAAAAGTGAATTTATGTAATCTACCAATAGATTTTTCATTATATACTATATATATGTTTCATTTTGTCTCTTAGATAAATATCTGATATTTCTGGCAATTTAATGCCATTAGTAAGTGACATATGGATAGTTTTAATCTTTCTCCATGCATTCTACTTGAACTTGTTCCAGCATTTTAATTATCCATATATAAAATATTCTTTTAATTATGTTTCTTATTTGTAAAATCTCCATATAATATTAAATAAAATATTTCCATTAATGTTCAATAATCTCATTTCCCTCTGTAACTTTTATGTTTAGTTAGACAGAAGCATAATTAAAAAAAAAAAAAACCCTCAAAGAGCAGATATTCTTAATTCACAGCTTCATGTTGTATATAAAATTATGTTTAAAAAACAGAATTTTAAGGTTTATTGCATTTATAATATAACTTGGTATGTTGAAGTTTATGCTAAAGCGGTAGTTGTCTCCATTAAAATGCATATTTGGTGGAAATGTAATACAAATCTGTAAATGTAATAAACCTTTAATATATGTGTATAGGCTATTAAAATATTTTATTAAAAAGTCGTTTAATTTGTTTTTTCAGTCATTCAACATATAATGAGCATCTACTAGGTTCTAAGTACAGTACCTACTAGGTACTCATTATACAGTGGTGGATTAAAACTGTTGCTGTTGTGAACTTTATCTGAACAGTGATTGAAAGACTTAAAGAGCACCTGAGTCATCTGGTTCAGGATAGGTAAAAGGGAAGTGCCATTGCATCTGAAATAAGAAAGTTAGGATATACACAGTCTTTATGTTTTATTTTTTGGGCAAATGCAGAAATCAGTATCTCCCGTAGATGGCCTTTCACTGTCCTCCTAGGAGTTATGGGCCTTGGTGGTTTTAAGATCAGTCCAGGAGAGCAGAAATAGGAGGTCTAGGGCTAAGGTCTGGGAATAGTAAGACTGAGAATGCATTAAATGGCTCTTTATGCCATTTGAGAACCTCAGGGTTGTGGGGAAAATAGGTGTCTATTTGACAACATTAAAACTGGCTTTTCTTTTTTATTTTCTTCATTGGCCTTGTGTAATATTGGTAATTTCTTGCCTCTTTAAGAGCACAGTTTTAAAGTTAAGGATGGGGGAGACCTATAGGTATATATTATTGAAATCCCAATCTTAGGCACTTCAGGGTATTTCAAGTGTTAAGATTTTTTTTGGTTTCATAACTTTCTTTATAGTTTTAAAACTTTATAATTTAATGTATATTAAACATAAAATTATGCTATAAATATACTTTTTCTTCATTTGATTTACATATTATAATGCTTTTTTGTGTGCTATAGTGCAAACTTGGATGAGGAGGCACAGGCTGGTACCAGTTCACTACAGGTAATGTTGGATCACCATCCTGTTGCCATTACAGTGGAGGTGAAGCAAGAAGAAGACATTAAACCACCTCCTCCACTGGTTTTAAATTCTCAACAAAGTGATACTTTAGAGCAAAGAGAAGAACATGAATTAGTACATGTTATGGAAAGATCCTTGTCGCCTTCACTTTCCTCTGTTGATATGAGAATGACATCGTCTCCATCTTCTATTCCAAGGAGAGATGATTTTTTTCGGCATGAGAGTGGCGAACACTTTAGGTCACTATTAGGGTATGATCCTCAGATCCTGCAAATGTTGAAAGAGGAGCATCAGATAATTTTAGAAAATCAAAAAAATTTTGGATTGTATGTTCAGGAGAAGAGGGATGGATTGAAAAGAAGGCAGCAGCTAGAGGAAGAACTACTAAGAGCAAAAATTGAAGTGGAGAAGCTGAAAGCAATTCGCTTACGGCATGATCTACCTGAATATAACAGTCTCTAAGTTTTTTTTTTTTTTTTGGTCAATCTTGCAATTGGTTAATTTTGATTTTGGCCAAATTACTTTAATTTGGGAGTATCCTGAAACAGAATACATGTTCTTAAAAAATGTTGTTAATCTCTATTATGGAAAATCTTTTTTTATATAATTTTCTAGTTATTTTATTTTGAGATATTAAAATTTACTGATTGATTGGCATGGTTATAGTTTTTATTGTCTTTTTTTTTTTCCTGAGTTTGTTGACCTTACAAAAGATATTTTATTCTGATCACTAAGATATACACAAATACGACAAACACATATTCTTTCAAAGTTCTGAGTCTTTAACATTTTTAGTTAGAACTTTGAAAACTGTAGCTAAAGATTTTTAAGTCAGTCTAATTTAGAAGCTATACTAACCTAATACCAAGAAGCTTGTCTGTATGATACTGGTTTTTATGCTTTTATCTTTTGAAGGAGTAAATCCTAGGATTTTAGAGATGGAAGATATTTGGAGAACACTTTTTCTGCCTCTGCACTTTAGAGGTAATGAAACAGAAGTTCAGGGAGAACTCAGTGATTTACTTTGTGTAACAGAGCTATTTATGGCAGAGCAGGGACCAGCACTTAGTTTTTCTTTGTGTAATTTTCCTCCCACTATTTGATAGAAGTAAATATCCACAAAAATATTCTCTAGATTTAAATACTAGAAGCATTTGTTTCATTAAAATTGTTTTTTAAGATTGTTAGGTTGTGAAATCAGGAAAATTGTATCAATTACCCCATTCTCTCTCTATTTTTGGTCCAGCAAAATAGACAAGGTATTCCATTGATGCTATTATATAATTTGGCTGTGTGATTAAAGACATATCTTAATTCATTTTAAATGTCCTGTTCTGGAAAAAATTTCTTTCACAGCAAAAATCAGAATGAACAAAATTAAAATTTTATGTTTTTTTAAGTATTATCTTTTTAGTATTTGTGGAAATAAAACCTCAATTCTTAAAGCACATATATTAAATTTATATTAAGTATCTAATAAGTATTTACTTAAGAATTTCTATTTTTGCTGGGGTTCTGTTGAGAAAGGATTTTTAAGCCAAGTTTTAGAATGGGGTAGGTGGAATTTTAGCAGTGAAGGGGAGCATGGGTGTTTGAAGTCAGAGTGAGAAGCTGGAAAAAAGACAAGGAAATGGGAAAAAGTGGATTGGGTATATAAGCACAAATGCAGTGCTAAGCCAGTGATTTTAAGTGAGTGTAGAGAGAGTTTGGATTGTGGTATCCTGGACTAGGAAGGACATCTCCCTGGACTAGGTAGGATAGCTGCTGTTTAACTCCAGCAGAATTTTCACATGCGGGAGAAAACCAGAAATCTACATTGGTTTAATGCAGAATTTTCCAATTTTAAAATGTTTGCAAATAACTCTTGCTTTCAAGACATTATACAGACAACATGTGAGTGGGCCTCATTGAACCATTGGGCTTCCACTTTGTGGCCTTTGGAGTAGAGCAATAGTTTTCCAAGTATGGGTCCTGACTAGCAGTATCAGCATCACTTGAGAACTTGTTAGAAATGTAATTCCAATTCGAACTGAATTAGAAACCTTGAGGGTGGGGTCAGCAATCTCTTTAATAAACCCTCTAGAGATTCTGATGCATGCTAAAGTTTGGGGACCAGTGAAACAGAGTATTTTAGAACATTATTTGGTGCCTAAATCATACTAGTCTCAAAATTTTTGTTGAAGAGCAGTTGAAAGTGAACTGAGGGATATAAATTTGGATGATGGTTGTTACCAGATTATGAATTACATTAAATATTATTTATAATGAGTCAGACTTAACTCATCATACAGTGGGAAGCCACTGAAGGCTTTGTATTAGGGGACTAATTTGATTATAGTTGTGATTTAGGAGGAGTGGCATTTAGGGACAGGTGTTGAGAGGAACTTAAATCAGAAATTTAAGTCATGGCTATAGAAATGGAAAAAAATATAAAATGAACTCTTAAGGTACTATTTTAGCATGTTGACTGCTTAATTTCATTGGTTGGATTAAAACGAAGGTGTTTTATACCTGGTAGAGTTAACTTTTTAAATTATAAAGATGTACTGAATATATAATATGGCATATCATTTTGACAATGTTACCTTTTCTCTTTAATCTGTGCTATGACATCTCTTTGAGTCTAATGAATTTTGTAATTCTTAATTTAAGGTAATGTTTCACAGTATAATTATAGTAAATACATCTTTGCATTAGTAAGCTTTATTTTTTGAAATTATTGAAAGCAAATATATGAGATTTAATTCACTTTACAGTTTCAGCATGAATTGATAATGGAATGTTCAATTTGAATGTTGGCTTTGTACAGCAAATCAGAGTTTTCCCAAGTGTGTTCTGTGGAACATTAATTCTATGAGATGTTTCTAGAAAAGACATCTTTTTTTGGTGGTTAAGTTCTGAAATAATTGTGAAAGGTAAAAATTATGTGTACACAAAATTGCCTTTGAAAATTCCTTTGCTGACCGTAAAATAGCATAAACACAGTCTGCTACAATCTTATTTTTCTCCAGCATTAAGATTGCTTTTTCTTTAGTGTGTTAGATGACACAATTCATTAGCATTTAGGGGCTATATACAGTAAGAAACCTATTTGTACGTAATTTTAAACACCAGAATCACACTCTGAGTTTACTGCAGCAATTTTTCCAAGTCAATCTTTTTTTTCTCCAAGTCAATCTTGTTTTAATTTTAATTTGCAAAAGTTTAAATGCTTATAATTCTGCTCATTGTCTACCTTCCCTTGTACAACCATGTTTAGCATAGTATAGTTTATGAGAATTCCTGTACAAAGAAAATTATTTATTTGGCCATATAATCCTTTTCAGAGGCTGTTTATTTTCTTACAGAGTATCTTAGGGTAATTTGGAACCAAACCTTTTTTTTTTTTTTTCTTCTTTCTCACATTGAGACGTTTTTGAATTTGGGGAATACTTACCAACTACCAACTAACATTAGCAGTTTTTGTTGAGGACAAGTTTCATTAAGGGAAATATATAGGGGAAATTTTGCTACTACCAATGGAATATACACTTGGCTCTCTATCTGCAGGTTTCACACCTGCGGATTGAAGTACTGTGGATTGAAAATATTCAAGCAAAAAAAAAAAATTAACAGTACAACAATAAAAAGTAATACAAAATTTAAAAATACAGCATAACTGAGGTAGGAGTTGGGCTAACCCCCAATTTTGGGGCTCACCATCCTGCATCATAACTATTTATGTAGCATTTACATTGTATTAGGCATTGTAAGTAATCTAGAGATGACTTAAAGTATTTGGAAGGATGTGTGTAAATTGTATGTGAATACAAACATTTTATATAAGGGACTTGAGTATCTGTGGATCTTGATGGGGTAAAGGGTGTCCTAGAACCAATCGCTCCCGGATACTGAGGGATGACTATCACTTAAGCCACCAGACATCCTGCGTACCACCGACACTTGTTTGGGGGCCATGAGCTTTAATTACAAAATGTAATGCTGGGTGAACACAGAGAACAGTGATTTTTTTTTTTTAAATGTAGACTTGATTCTGTAGAAATATATTACATTTGATAAATATACTAAATAAATAGATTATTTCATCTAATACATTAGTATTTCAGATAGTGGATAGCTACTTCCCTTTCTGTTATCCATATGAATATAAATGGATATGTTGTTACAACTTATGATTTTGTAAACTAGCTATGATTTGTAATGACATCCTGAGAAAAGTCAATGAAACTTATTTCTAATGAATGCCATATTTCTTAAAATAGTCAAATTAAGTATTTTTTTTTTGTACGATGAGATATCAACTTCTTGTTATTTCATTTTTTTTTAAGGAGTCACTCTACCCTGTTCTGTATTTACTTACGTGAAAATGTTTATGAGTTTTTTTCATGTGCCTTCTTTTAGAGTAATGTCAAATTTTAAATACACATGTTTAAGTAACTTAGAGTGTAATAAATTGTGTTTAACATATACTGTAGATAATGATGGTTAAATGCTTTGTTAACACATGTTCTTTTAAATACAAGAGAATACTTTGTACTGATTTGTGTACTTCTTTGTGTGCCATTAAGACAAATAATTCAGTACTGTAGCAATAACATTTTTTGATGAGGCATAATTGAAATACATTTATTTAGACAATTATAGAAGATGCCCAATGTACCATATTTAAATATCACATTTCATTTTTTTTTCAAATGTTAAGAGCCACAGCTTTTCAAAATCAAATATTTGATGGTGAATTTGATTGTAAATACTTTAAAATAATTAGATGAAATATGGTTGCATACTTAAACAAAAGAGTAACTTCTTAGAATAAGCAACCTAATTAAACATTAACAGTCATGCAAAATCTTTGTATACAATTTTGAGAAATTGTTCAATATATTTTTATATATCTTTTATATTGATTAAAGCTAGTAGTTATAATTCGAGGATGTTATTTTTAGTTTCCAATTGCTTTGTAATAGTGGAAAGCAAAATAAATGAGTACATAAAAATAAAAATACCACCGGGCATGGAGGCTCACGCCTGTAATCCCAGCACTTTGGGAGGCTAGGGTGGGCGGATCACAAGGTCAAGAGATCGAGACCATCCTGGACAACATGGTGAAACCCCATCTTTACTAAAATACAAAAAATCAGCTGTGCATGGTGATGCATGCCTGTAGTCTCAGCTACTCGGGAGGCTGAGGCAGGAGAATCACCTGAACCAGGAAGCAGAGGTTGCAGTGAGCCAAGATCTCTCCACTGTACTCCAGCCTGGTGACAGAGTGAGACTCTGTCTCAAAAAAAAAAAAAGAAAAAGAAAAATACCACTCCTGTCAGTCCAGACAACTTAAAGGATATATAATTATAATTACACTTTGCTAGCAGGTCTTTTATGTTTTAAAGTTTATGTGTGAATTCACCTTTTTTATAAAGTTTTTTTTCCCCTAACATTTTATTAAGAAACCCTTCAAACATACAGAAAAAGTTAAAAGACAGTTATAGTAAGTACTCATATACTTATCATGTAGATTCTGGAATTAATGTTTTGCTATATTTGTTTTATCACATATTTATCTGTCCAATTCTTTTTTTTTTTTTTTAAGGGAAAAGTGTTACTTCAAAACAAGTTGTAGAATTAGAATAATTTACGTCTAAGTACTTCAGCATGAGTATTACTAGAGTTCACTATTTATTTGTGCATGTGTGTTTTTTAGGTAAGATTTGCATACAGTGAAACGCACAAATTTAAAATATACTATTTGGTGAGTTTTGATGTACAACTGTGTAGCTCAAACCTCTATCAAGATTTAAAACATCACTTCATAAGTTCTCTCTTTCCTGCTTCTAATCAGTCTTCTAGCACGTCAGGCAATCACTGTCCTAATTTGAAAAAAATTATAGGTAAGTTTTGCCCATTCTAGAACTTCATATAATTGGAATCATACAAGATGCATACTTTGTTTCTGTTTTTTGTTTTTTTTTTAAACTTATCTTAGTGTTTTTAATCTTCATCCATGTTCAACCATCCTTCTATTAGTACTCATTGCTTTCTGTTGCTGAGCAGTATTCCATTATATAAATATACCACACTATTTATCCATTATCTTTTGATGGACTTTCCAGACTTTGGCTATTATGTATAAAGATTCTATGAATATTCTTGTGCAGTTTTTTCATGGACATAATGCTAGATTAGGGAACCATATTGATTTAACCTTTAAGAAACTGCCAGACATTTTCTAACATGATTATATCATTTTACACTTCTATCAACAGGGTATGAGAATTTTCATTTTTATTTTTTCTCTAATATTTGCAAAAGGCCAAGCATAGTGACTCACACCTGTAATCCTAGCACTTTGGGAAGCTTAGGCGGGTGGATCACTTGAGGCCAGAAGTTTGAAACTAGCTTGGCCAACATGGTGAAACCCTGTCTCTACTAAAAATACAGAAATCAGCCGGGTGTGGTGGTCGGCACCTGTAATCCCAGCTACTCAGGAGGCTGAGGCAGGAGAATTGCTTGAACCCAGGAGGTGGAGGTTTTCTTGAGCCCTGATTGCGCCACTGTACTCTAGCCTGGGTGATAGAGCGAGAGCTTGTCTCAAAACAAACAAACAAAAAACTTTGCATGTTCAGTGATTGGAATGTCAAAATTGAAATTGATGATTAACTTTCGTAATATTTAAGTGCATTCAAAATGCTGGGCAGGTAATTTAGATATCTGGGAATATTGCAGCTTGTTGGTTTTTTTCCACGTTAGTACTAGTTCCATATATGCTCTGACAGGAGGTATTGAATAAATATGAAATGTATAGCCTCTGCTATGCTTATAAAACATAATTCTGAAAATGATGTTTAATGCAAAGAAATGTCTTCTAGGTTTGCTTTATACTTAGTTGACATTCAATCTCTTACTAGATAAGGAAAACTGATTATCAGTTTGAAGCGATTTCTATATTAATGTTTATATGCTTTTTAGTGTAATAAAAACTTTCAATCAAATTTATATTGAAGTTATATGTTAATACATTTTAAACATTTTGGTAGGTTTTGGTAATTTTAAAACTCAAAACATAATCTGCAAGAATATTTACATTCTCTATTGAATTTGATTATATGAGATATTTTGAATTTCATTTGTGCCATTGAAAGCAATGTGTGTATTTAGAATTGTTAAACAAAAGAATGTTAGGCTGGGTGCAGTGGCTCATGCCTGTAGTCTCAACACTGTGAGGCTGAGGCGGGAGGATTGCTTGAGTCCAGGAGTTCGAGACCAACCTGAAGACCTCACTTCAAACAAAAAAAAAGAATATTAAAGACTTTAGGTTTATGGGATGTACCATTAAGTCGATCAACTCCAGAGTGACTATGCTTAGGAATTGTTCATTAAAATGGTAATGCCCACTATTAATATTAAATGACATTATTTTCCTTTATCAAGACATGGTTTTAAGCATCCTGCCTTTAGGAAGCTTTTTTTTTTTTTTTGAGATGGGGTCTTACTTTGTCACCCAGGTAGGAATACAGTGGCACAGTCACAGCTCACTGCAGTCTTAACCTCCTGGGCTCAAGCAATCTACCTGCTTCAACTTTCTGAGTAGCTGGAACCACAGGTGTTTGCTACCACGCCCAGCTAGTTTTTGTATTTTTTTATACAGACAGAGTTTTGCTGTGTTGTCCAGGCTGGTCTTAAGCTCCCGGGCTCAAGTGATTATCTCACCTTGGCCTCCCAAAGTACTGGGAGGTATGAGACAGTGTGCCTAGCCACCTTATGAATCTTGCAGATAGGCCTTCAAGTCTCTTGTTTATGCTGATCATGTTTTGGTATTGATTTGGCAAGTGCATTATAGGGCCAAGGAAAAATAGATCAGAACCCAGTTTATAGTTAAAAATTATAACATGGGATTGTTAGGGGTGGCTATTCTGGGACATAGCAAATTAGTCAATATTTTCTGTAATACTAGTAGTCTAGATATAGGAAGTTATGTTCCAGTATCTCATGTTCCCATGATCTCATTTTTACCTTTTGGAATTATTCACCCTCTCCATTCCCTGCTGTAGGGCCTATATAATTTTAAAAATGGGAGTAACTGGGAAAGGGACAAGGGCAAATGTTGATGGTAGTAAACATTAAGGAAGCACTTACTATTTGGCAAATACTGTTACAAGTGTTTTACATATATTCACTAATCCTTGCTCACAGTAGGTTTGTGAAGTGAGTATTAGTAGTATATTCATTTTATAGATTTATAAACTGACACAAAGGAGTTAAGTAACTTATCCAGGGTTACAGAGCTAGGAAGAGGCTGACTTAAGAATCAAACCCAGCCAGTCTGTCTCCGTAGTTCATGCTTTCTGCTGTTCTGCAAAAGAAAAGGGTATATCTAAGTCTGAGAATCTTATGGTATTTCAAAGTTAATTATAAATAATTTCTGAATTATCAGAATTTAATGATCCTGTTCAGTGTTTTTTTCTCGGAGCTGGTGGGCTGGTGGCAGGGAGAGTCTTGGATTTTAGGGTCTAAGAGTCTAACAGCCATTCTCTTAGACCCTGGAAATATAATAGAGTGTTTTACTTCAGGATGTTTTCGCCAGCCTTTTGTTGAAGACATTCTTTTTACCCACTCTTTAGGGTTTCTCTTGGATAACCTAATATAAAACAGAGAAACAAATTTTAGCAGTGCAGAAAGATTTTGTCAGTTTTTAATTCAATGCACGGCGACTACTACTGGTAGAAATAATACAAAAAGAAAACTAATTAAAATTGGCTAAAATTGCACACAGCAAATTTTTTTTTTTTTGAGGTAGAGTCTTGCTGTGTCGCCAGGCGCCAGGCTGGAGTGCAGTGGCGCGATCTTGGCCCACTGCAACCTCCACCTCCCCGGTTCACGCAATTCTCCTGCCTCAGCCTCCTGAGTAGCTGGGACTACAGGCGCGTACCACCAAGCCCAGCTAATGTTTGTATTTTTAGTAGAGATGTGGTTTCACCATGTTGGCCAGGATGGCTCCATCTCTTTACCTCCCTCATGATCCACCTGCCTTGGCTTCCCAAAGTGCTGGGATTACAGGTGTGAGCCACTGCACCTGGCCAGCAAAATTTTTTAGAATTCAAAAATTTATTGAAGCATTCTGTCTTTTGTTAATGCGAAAAACTCAAAACTTTATCTGGGAAGATCGGGCTTGGTAAAAAAATAAAAGTAATCAACCATGACAGCTACAAATTTATCTAAAAACTGGTAAATTTTCTTTACTAAAACTTGTTGGATTAATACAATCCTGGTAATATTTAACTGTGTAAAATTTGACTCAGTAAAACTGTATTTGGTAGAAATTATGGTTATAAAAGAACATGTTCATGAAAGCTTTCACTAATCAATGAAATATGGTACATAAAAAAGTGACTAATGAATCTTTGTTATAAAGTTTACTTGGAAAAAGATTGATCCTGAAGGTAACAGTTCTTTAGCAATGAAAATAAAAATTCATTGCTGAAGAAAACAGGTCTTTAGCAGTGAAAATAAATCAACCGAGCCACTGTCGATTTGTATTTTAAT